TTTGTTTTAGTTAATTAACTAGCATATATATATATATATATATATATATATATATTAAACAAAAAAGAGATTCAAACAAAAGAAACCACGCATCATGTCCAGGATGCATGGCAAATTGGCAATATTATAAAATTGCACGCGCATGCATTTCTATGAAAGTTCCCCCGTTGGGTCCTAAAAACCCCCCCCAGTAAATCCTTAATCCCAGAGGATGGCAAGGCTGTGGGAGTGTAGACTGTGGGACTGTGAGAGTGGGTTGTTCAATGTAGTTTGCATTGTTTTTTTTCGTATATTTAAAAACAAACATCTAAAAGAACAAACGAATGGACATTTGACACTTATGAAGTTGTCACTGTGATCTGTCGTCAGTTGACTCAGTTCACTCTCGAGTCTCTTCAGATGTCAGACTCTGGGTCTCTGTTCAGCAGCCCCGCACAGGCACACACCCCGGTCCCCGTGCCCCCGCGGTCTGCAGTTTGCAGCAGTTATCGCCTCATCGGCAACATCTGGTACTCACTCTATTTGAGTTTACTCTCTTTACTCTTTAGAGTATAGAGCGAGAGGTAGTCTGAATGTCTGATAGAAAAAGAGAGACAGGCCCACAGTTTCACAGCTGTTTAAAAAAACCATTGGTTTTTTTCTAATAAAAAAAGAATTGCTACAGTATTGATATTGTATATATATAAAATTGACTGCCACAGATTACAGAATAATATTGAATTGTGAATAACGAAAGCCTATAGGCTTTCGCGAGTGTCGAGTTGTCGAGTCTCGATTCTCGAATGCGAATCTCGGAGTGAGGCAATTTTTTAAGAGCAAATTGGGGGGGGGGTCGACGGGTCGGGGTGGTATTTTAAAATTTAATAGAACAATTTATAGTCCATACAGCATAATTGACAAATAAAATATAAATACAATTTACTTTACTTTTTAAAGTGCAATTAGAGGAGTATCAATGCTCTGGCTTTGCTCTATCACATACTGAGAATAGAAGAAGAATATAGAGTCAAACAATCACCAAACTCTTTTTTAAAACAAACACTAAAGCACACTTTTTCTGTTTTGAAAAACAATACAACATGAAATGACAAAAACCCCACTCCCTTGTACAACTACTGCAGTAAATAGAAAAACACTCTACCCGTAGGTAGTCTACCGTCTGATTTTTACTGAAGAGTGAAGAGTCCTGATTCCTGAAGCCTGAAGGCAGTATGTATTTACTGTAGGCACCCGAAGAATGAAGTCTGAACTCTGAGAACTCTAAAAAAAACAACAGAACAATCTTTTGGTTTGGGGGGTTTTTTTATAAACACAAAAACCTAAAAACCTAAAATATGTATTTGTAATTTTAGTGTTTTCTTATAAAAATAAGGGACAATAGAATATTATTTTTATTGGATAATTTGTTTTAGGTCAGCAGTCCAGCTGTGAGTGCTAGTGACTCCAGTCACTAAAAATATATTTACTCAGTCATCGGCTCATCGCACCACTGCAACTTGCAAGTCTAGACTGCAACTGTGCAATAGTGTCAGTTTGTCTGATGACTGTAAATAACACTTTCACTCTGTAAGACTGTAACTAGTGACACTGTGTGGTACAGTGGCTGAGGCCTGAGTGGCAGTTTACAGTTTTTCCACCTCTCGTAGGGCGTAGGGCCGCAGGCTCGCCTCTCTTGGAGTCTCGAGTGACGGGTCTTGGCCTCGGGCTCTCGGCTCTCAACTCTTCCTCTGAAAATGCCGGAGCACATATGGGAAGAAAAACGTATAACTTTATATCCTTTTTTTTAATATAATATATATAAATATATATATGTATATTTAGAAACAATCCCCTCACGGCCTCACGTGTTCTATATTTAAATATGTGAAATTTTGAAACTCACACTCACAGTTCAAAACTTCAAACCCGATGACCCGAAACAACAAAGGCTTTGCACCCGAAAAAAGGGTCAATCAACAATGTATTCTTTAGTTTTATTTTATTTTTACAAAACAAACAAAAACAAAACAAAACAAATATTTATATACAGTACATTTTGAGTAAAAATACAAACCCACCCTTTTGCTGAATCGAGAGGGCAATCTGGACTTTGGCCTCCTTGGGGTCTGATAGGCCTGGCCCCGGTGGGTGGCTGACGGGATGGGCCCTGAGCCTGACGAGTGAAGGAACTCGAAGACAGGCGTGTAGCCTTTTTTTTATTTTATACAAAATCGAAACAGTAGGTCCACAACTCCACATACTTTCAGACTCAAGTCTCAGAGTCAGTCAGTCAGAGGCTCATAAATATATACTTCAAACTTGAGACTTGAAGAGTGTCGACTAAGGCCATAACGTTATGTGGGTACGAATAACGAGATAAAAGTTTATCGTAAACGCATTCAAAACGTTGAAAGGGTCTACAATGTGATTAGAAGAGCTACCTAAGTACTTTTATAGGACTGATTCGTATCGTGAACATGGTACACACTTAAATGTTTAGACCCGAAAGGGTTTAGTATTGGTTATATAACGCACGACATATTATTTACAGACGCCGTAATTTGCATACGGTCGTACGGCGTACTGTCCGATTTACTGATTTAAACAATGTGTGCTAGAATATTTATAAATATTGTTATTGAAAAACAAACATACCACAACTGCTGACGCCTGAGACTTGAAAGTTGACAGGCCTTCAACTTTTTACTACATCAATATTTATCCTCTGATGAGTGATGACCTTTTTTCATTTTTCCTGAGAAAACGAACCCAAAAAGAGCAAAAATATGAAAGTGCAGAAAGAAAAGCTGTAACTAAGTAGCTCTACAGATTGGAAAGTAAATACTCTTGAATTCACGGTTTCGCGCTCTACTGCTCCACACTCGCGCCTTCTATCGGATATGTAGTTTGATATCAGCATTCAATCCGACTCGGATTGGCTACATTTATAATTTATCACTACGTCCAAGTTTCGAACGACTGTGCGACAAAAAATATATCAAACTGTATTGTATTGGATTTCGGACAATATTGAATAATGAATATTGGTAAAAGCAGCACGATGACTACACATGTGTACACCAGAAGTATACACACCTTTTACTTCTCAATGGATTTTCTACGCAACCGTATTTAAAATTATAAAACAACCACTATCACCTAAGAACAGTTCACTCAAAAAAAAATCTGGTCAGAATCATCGACAATGATTTTAAAAAGCTTGTTCTTATTAGCCAGTGTCACACTTGGCGTAATCGACAGTGTGGTCGCAGTTCCTCACAGACGCAGCAATGTAGTGAGCAGTGTGCCAAACTTCAACGATTATAGCATTGGAGATGCGCCGGATATCTACAAGCTTTTCTCTTCGCCATTTTCAGGATGTTTCGGTATGTATCGTGATGGCACAGACTGCGTAGCTGAAAAACCAAATGATTCATACATCCGCCAAGACCCCGTGTCATCTTCTGGCACTGTAATGGAAATAAATCTTCGTAAAGGCGTATATGGCACAGATGATGAAGGAACAGGAGGCCAGTATTACACGGAAGAATTCAGTAGCTCAGAATTCTCTGACTTGACTGATGCGACATATGAATACGAGGTTTACTTCCCTTCGACATTCGAGTGGACTCTTGGGGGAAAATTACCGGGCATGTACGGGGGTTCTTTTGATTGTAGTGGTGGTTATAAAGCTGACGGTGACGATTGCTTCTCTACGCGATTGATGTGGCGAGAAAACGGTGAGGGTGAAGCGTACATGTATATCCCAATGACGGAACAAGATGACTCATTCTGCGCAAAATGTGCTTATCCGGTGATGGAGAATGGTTGTGAAAGTGTTTCAACTTGTTCATTGAGTCGAGGTGCATTCTCATTTCAAAGAGGCAAGTTCAACAAGGTTAAGCAATACGTCAAACTCAATGCTGTGGGGGAAAATGATGGTGAGTTCCAGTTATGGATCAATGGGGCGAAGGTGATTTCCGAGAGTTTGACATACCGTACTTCTGAGAAGCTGAAACTAGGTGGAAGCTTTTTCAGCGTTTTTTTCGGCGGTTCTGGAAATCAGTATGCCCCCGACAACGATAACACAATACTTTTCAAAGGCTTCGAATTGACCGCCGGCCTTGCCTGATCACTGCAAAATAGTCGAATAGACTTCCCATTAAGAGCACGCAACACAGTGCAGTAAATCTAATAAAACTAATAGAGTATAAAGTTACCGCTCAGTCATTTGACAATTCACAAGACTCACCGCATTATTTTGATGAATATGTTTCAAATTTCTTTGCGTTTGCTTCGGCCTTTGATAGGGGCAGAGCGTAGGTCGTAGGATTGTATATTTATCGAAACCAATCACTGAACTTACACGGCGTTTATGATATAAATTTTGTGGAAGTCAGTGAAAGTTTTAGGATATTTAAAACTAGTCTGTTTCGTAGCAGTATTTAATGGTTTTAGGAAACAATTATGTATTGGTGTTCGGGGCTAACCATAATAATACGTACTATGCTAACAAATATGTAGTACTCTGAAACTGGTAGACTCCTGTGCAGCAGCAAGACAGCAACCCAATAAACAACCCAATGCATTATATCACACCTTCGATTATATATTTATAACCACGCTTCAATTTATCGCTTACATTGATTGTAGGTTTGTCCAGTCTACGTACATGAATAGAGTTGGAAAGAATCAGCAGAAAAATACCATCTACTGCCAACGCACAGAAATACACTTACTTCCGACTTTGTATATGTAGCATATGCCTGCAGAAATATCTTAACTTATGCCTGCGAAAGTATTTTCTGGCTCTGCACGCAGTCAACAATACTCAGTAGAGGTACCTGATTTTATTGTCATTGTCGATATACTCGATAAAATATGTTCCTGGGGAAAGCATACCGTTCGTTCACGGGCGGACGATGTGGATTGATTTCAGTGGCGCCTTGATAGTTATTCTAGCTTTTGATTTATTACCTACATATAACTGTAGTATTGTCCAGCCTATGTACAGGAATAGAGTTGCAACGCATCAGCAGAAAAATACCATTTACTGCCGACGCGCGGACATGCACTCAAATCCGACTTCGTGTATGTAACTTATGCCTGCGAAAGTATCTTCTCGTTCTCCGCATAGTCAACAGTGCCCTGTAGAGGCACCTGCTTGTATTGCCTTCGATATTTGCTGTCGATATACTCGTTATAGTACGAGCCAGGGAAAAGCATACCGATATCACCCACGGGCGTATAATCGTTGAGGTTGTGTGTACGCTCGCGTAGATCCAACGTATCGGTAAATTCTTGTGCGCTCATTTGCACTCTCTGAGCAAGCTTCTCGTGCACACGATCGTTCATCGCAATTTTGGAGGTATCTCCGACCACCTTCAAGGAGAACAGAGTAGCAGCCATACCAGATCCGTACGAAAACATATTGATACGCTTCTGTTGCAGCTCAGCAGATGATTTCTGCGACAGCAATGACGCTAGACTCATGTAAAGAGACCCTGTGTAACTATTACCCAGCTGCTGATTAAGCAGAAGCGAGGGCACCACCTTGGACTCATAGTCGGACTTAACCAAATCCCTGAATGTCAGCAGCAATTCCTTGTTACCGTACGCCTCAGCCCCAATTCCTAATCCCATGAACTTGTCGGGTACTCCAGAGAAGCGGGGGTCTGCGGGACGCTCCACATAGTCAAGATATGCCAACCAGGCGTAACTAGTTCGCACTAGTTTGCCAAATGGGCAGTGGAACAACGAATAATCTGCCTTATCTAAGGAGAAGTTATCCCCGTGGACACGCGCATATCGCTGCTTGTATGTATTGTAGGCACCAGCCAGAGCTCGCAAATAGCAATCGATCGACAAATGTCCGTCAACAACGGCGTATTCCGAGTTCAATACCGGTTTGTAGAAATCGTGAACGTGCTCCATATGTGTGCCAGTAACACCGCGATCATAAGCCAAAGGCGCGTTGGGACCTATCAACAAAGATACAATGCCTGCACCCCCGCTAGGTCTGGCTGCACCTTTCTCATACACAGCGATATCTCCAGTCACCACAACAGCATCCCGACCATCGTAATCGTCTGACGTTTCGATGTAATTGATCGCATTCATTATGGCCGCCGTGCCACCATAGCATGCGTTGATGCTGTCTACCCCTTGCACGTCGTAGTTTCCACTCTCAGAAAACTGCTGCATGAGCACGCTTTTGGTACTCTTGGATTTGTCAACCAGTGTTTCCGTTCCTACAGATAGAAAGCCCACGTCTTTGTAGTCGACATCGTTGTTGCGCATGAGATTGGTGAATGAAGTTAACGCCATTGATGTGATATCCTCGCGGTCAGATGTGAATGCCATTGCCTGTTGTTCGAGGCCCTTTGTGTATTTTCCGGCAGATACACCATCATATGCTTCCAGGTCAGACTGGGCTACGTATGTGCGGGGGAAATAGACCTGCAAGATAAAGAATCGTGCGCGGGGGTAAGTATCTATACAATTCTGTAGAACTCAAGAACATCGCCAACAAATTGTCAAACGAGTTTTGCAAGGATCGAAAGTCAGTCTATTTTGGCATGCAAGCGACGATAGGAGTGCCTGAATCCATATTTTTGAATTGATCGTAAACACATCTTAGTATCAGGCAGCACATTTTAGGACCAGGCATTGTAAGCCAAAAATTTAATTTAAAAATGTAGGCTTTAGATTATCACAATAAGTTTACGAGTGGATAAGGAGCCTACCTCAATGCCCTTTATTCCAATATTCCTCTCATTCTTTCGTATTGTGGACATGGCGCGCACTTGCTGCGTTACCACAGGTGCTGTAAGCACACGGCAATGGTTGATAGCGCTGAGCATCTCGGACTAGTTGGACTAGTTTTTGTTGAGTAATAATGAGCGGCAGTTCGATTCCCAGAACAACTTATGTTCACCTTGGCGGATGATACTCAAGTATTTATACAAATATAAATAGTGTCGCCGAGATCAAAATGCTACTGCTCGAGCTACTATACACAAGCATTCGTCCGCTATTCACGTATGATATTCTCTATACTGCAACTATAGTCTACAGAATATTTGAGTGTGCAAAAAAGAAAATCACGGCACTTAAAAAGGCTTATCAAAATGTGGTCCGATCGCGCGCTGTCAACACATTTCTGTTTCAGTCAGATGAGCTTGTTTTGGGCCTGACAACCAGTGAAATGAGCTCTCGAACATGGGTCGATGCAACTTTTTAAAAATGCACTTTATTGAGTTCGTACATTGATATTCCCTTATTCACGGAAATTTTGCAAATGCACTTCATGGATATTTGAAACAAAATATATCGAGAGGAATCGTTTATAATATTACCATATTAGTCGTAAACTACGACTCGGACTGTATTTATTTCTCTCGTCTGTATCCTCCAGTCTATATTGCATATTTACAATATTTGAAACAGGATTGAAAAAAAGTACATAAATATAATTTCAGTACAAAACCAATAATGTTTGAAAATGAGTGACTCTTTTAAAAAAATTCGAGGTACAGATGGTGCCCAAATCAACTAGCCAATACAAAACCATGACGATATCGTTCGTTTTTCAAACACATATTACCCGAAGCTTTACTTATTCCTTATATAGTATCACCTGACCAAGTTGCGATGGCAATATCCGATAACAGACGATTGACTTTGGATAGAAGTGAGCTTATTAGGACAATCAAAACATACTTCCTCTCGATATGACAACATTCGATCGCCGAGCCAATTATAACCATTTATGTGAACATTGTACTTGCACAACAGTGAACAGTACATAGTGCATAGTGTAAAGTCGTATACAGCATATAGTTTTAAAGTTACAAATGTACCGACCAATATACATATATATATGTATATGAATATGTATTGTACATGTATATGTATATGTATATGAATATGTATTGTACATGTATATATGTGTGTGTGTGAGCGTGTATATGAATATGTAATGTATATGCATATGCATATGCATATGTACATGTATATGTACATGTATATGTACATGTGTATGTAATGTATATGTATATGTATACGAATATGTATTGTACATGTATATGTATATGTATATGAATATGTATTGTACATGTATGTGTGTGTGTGTGTGTGTGTGCGCGTATATGAATATGTAATGTATATGCATATGCATAAGTATATGTATATGTATATGTATATGTATGCGTATATGTATATTTATATCTTAAGTAAATGTTTATGTATATGTATATGTATATGCATATATATGTGTATATGTATATATATATATATATATATAAATATATGTATATGTATATATATGTATATATATATGTGTGTGTGTATATGTATTTATATATATGTCTATGTATATGTATATATATGTATGTATATATATATATA